AATGCTCTTTGCGGGGAAATTATGTTAAGTCAGGGTCTCCCTCCAGATTCCAAACTGAAACCCTCCACCCACCCGGCCACCCACCCCCACCCAACTGGGCCCGAAATAGTGCATTCTAGACCACACGGGTGTGTGTGTGTGTGTGTGTGTGTGTGTGTGTGTGTGTGTTAAGGTATAAACTACCGTTTTGTCCCAAGAATTAAAGTCATGCAGAGTGCTATTCTGTCTAAATAACTTATTAAAAAATAGGTCGGCTTCAGGCTGGGAGAAGCTGTGGGCTCGGTGGTGCAGGCAGCAGCCTGGGTTGGTAAGATTCACAGGACAGAGCCCGTCAGCCGCAAGGCAGGAGGTCCTCAGGGAGGTCTGGGGGAGGCCACCAGGATCAAGTTGGCACTGGGGGAGAGATGACCCCATGACTGCCTCCTACCCTGCTCTCCTGAAGGGCCCTGACCACGGCTGTACAACACGTTGCCATGGGAACCACACCTGGGCGATGCCACCCATCAGCAAAGCCCGGGCAGAGGAGGGGCGGGTACCAAAACAAAAGACAGGTGATCCGACGTCAAAGCAAAGCTGAACTGGGTGAAGCAAGGGGCAAGGTGGACAGTCGGGCCTCCCAAGAGGCTGGGCTGGGGCTGGGGGCGCTCACCAGTCTGGATCCAGTCCAGGCAGGGCAGGGGGCGGGAGGCTGTGGGCATGCGGCATGCTGCAGCCAGGCCACATCCTCAGCATGCGCAGAGCAAAGCGGGCCCGCAGCCAGCTCGGCACACCGTGGGGCAGTGGCCGACCGGTGCAGCAGGCCACGCCTGCTGGGGACTGACGGCTGAGCCACCGCCTGGCTGGTGGCCAGGGGTCTGCTGGGCGGGGGCCTCGCTACAGAGGCTCTGTGCTTGGTGGCCAAGGCTGGGCCCGCCCCCACCCCGCGGGTGGGCTGGAAGGGGCCCCTCGCGCCAGGGCCGGGCAGCTGCGCGGGCTCGCGGCGGTCCACGCTGTCACTTCAGGATGCGGCCCCAGCAGGCTGGGGAGGGCAAGGGGCGTGGCTGGGAACAACCCACCTCCCCAAGTGTCACGGACGAGCAACGGCCCCGCGCCCCACCAAGAACCAGCCAGAGAACCGTGCGGTGCCGAAGAAGGGAAAACCCAACACAAACGCCAAGGCGAGCGTCCGAAAGCGGCCCGGGCGGCGGGCAGGAGGGCGCAGGCGGACGGAGCGGCGGGCGGGGCGGCGGGCAGGTGGGTGGCGGTCACTCCTCGCGCAGCTGCAGGCGGTAGCGGTGGTAGCGGACCTGGAAGAAGAGGCGCTCGGCCAGCGAGAGGGTCATGCCCGGCATCACGTAGCGGTCACTCGAGCCCATGTGCCTGAAGCCCAGCGACTCGTAGAGCTTGTGGGCGGCCACCTTGACGGCTGTCGTGCCTAACACTACCGCAGAGTAGTTGTGCACCAGAGCGAACTCCAGCACCTTACGGCCCAGCGCCTTGGCGATGCCCTTGCCGCGGAAGCGTGAGTCCACCGACATGCGCAGCAGCTCCACCGTGTTGTCCGCCGCGTGGGCCCGCGCCGCCACGATGCCCACCACGTTGCCATCCAACACGGCCACCCAGAAGCAGGAGCCTGCGGGGAACGGGGCGGTCAGGGCCACTGGCGCTACTGCATGACACAGCCACCCCGGCAGAGCCCTCTGGGCAGAGGGAGCCAGGCCCAATCCGCCTGCTGCCCGCAGCAGCCCTGGAGCCACCCTGACCCTGGGCCTCAGGCTGGGCAGCCAGCCCTGTGCTCAGGCCAGCCGTCCCCACCCCCGGCCCAGACCAATCGCGGCCCCACGCAGGGCAGGAGGAGGAGGGGGAAGACCTCAGGGAGATGAGGGAGCAAGAGGGACAGAGGAGTGAAGACCAGAGGGGAGAGGCCTACAGGGCACAGGCCACGGGGAGAGCCATCTCCTCTGGGGGCCCAGGGCCCAGGGGCTACAGGAAGCAAGGCCAGGGGGCAGTGCCTGCTCTGAGGAGCCCAGCCTGCACACGCCCTACCCACGGCCACGCCAGCCTCCACTGCCACGTCCTCCCGCCAGCCACCCCTCAGGCCCCCGCCCCAGCCTCCCTCCTGCAGCGGCCAAACCCTCCCCCGCTAGCGCGCCTTCCCCGGACCCCCGCCCGGAAGAACTCTTCACTCCACCGCCCTACGCCTGGGGGTCCCCCACTGCCACATCTGCCAACGCGGCCCCCAGCAGCCCGTCAGCTCTGCCGGGCAGTCTCCTGTCTCCTTCACCGTCAGACCCTGAGACTGAGACCGGGCACGTGGCCTGAGCTCAGGAAGGAGCTGACCGCCCCCTCCACCGGCTGACCTGCCCACTGTCTGGGAGTTCGGGCTCTCCCCACCTGCCCGGGCCCAGGTCAGAGGTCGGCACACTCCTAGGAGCCTCGTGCCTCCCCAGGCCTCGGTTCCCCCGTTGCGGGAGCAGCTCCCCCGAGTCCAGCACGGCCCCACCAGCCACTGTCCAGCCTCTCTGCCCCTGCGGGATCTTCCTGCACACCCACCAGACATCTCAGGAGGGGCGGGCAGGGCCCAGCCCCAGCCCCAGCCCCAGCTCCCCATCTCACACCCAAGGACACTGCACTCCAAAGAGGACAGGGCCACGCTGGGCCCCAACCCCTCTTCTGCTCCTGCGGCCTGGGCTTTGGTGCCAGGTGGGTCTCACGCTTCTGTCCCCTCCCGTCCTGGGGGGAGCCAGACTGAAGCCAGAGCTCCATGGAGGCTGATAAGATGCTTTGTTTGGGCTTGGGAAAGGGTCAAGGAGAGCCAAAGGTGCCCAAGGCCAGCCAGGCAGCCTCGGGGCGGGGAAAGGACCAGCCACCAGTGCTCAGGAGCTGGCCGGGCCAGAGCACGTCACCGCTGCTCCGGGACGCCTTGCCTCTCTTGTCCCCACTGCCCTTCCCCAGCACCTACCAGGATGCTGCTACACCCTAACCAAGCAGGCGCACTGTGTCCCTCCCCTCAGGAGCCTTCCTGAGCCTGGAAGGCCCTCGTGCCCCAGCTCCAGGCACGGAGACAAGCAGGACCCTGCCTCCCAGGACCCACCCTGCCTCAAGGCCAGCCTGGAGAGTAAAGAATGGCTCCAGACCAGGTCCCAGCCCCTCCCTCTACAGAAGGCCAGGGCCGGGGCGAGACTTCTGGCCCAGAGACCAGAAGTGGGACCCCTGTTCTCCAAGGGTCCTCACTGCCCCAGAGTGACCTCTGCCCTCTCCCCACCATGTGGCCCTCTGCCACACAGGGCCCTAGCATTCCAGGCCGGCCCAGGATCCAACAAAGCAGCCGAACGGGACCGGAGAGACGTGAGAAAGACCCCCTTCCCCCCATGAAGCACGAGGGCAGCACAAACAGCAGAGCCAGGGCACCATGGCCCAGGGCCAGCTCAGGCCACTCAGAGCCCTGCCCTCGGAAGACACAGGACGGAAGCCCGGCCACACTCAGGGGAGAGGGCCTAGTCCTGCCAACCCCAGCGCCTGCCAGCCTGCGGCCAGAGCCCTTGGGCACCCAGAAGCCTCGGGTCACAGGGGTGCCCCAGCCCAGGCTGACCTGTGCCCAGGCCCTGCCCCAGGCCCGCCCCGAGGTTGCTGCGCTGGGGGCAGCTCTGCCAGAAGGGAAGGCTGGGGAGGAGGGCAGGAGGGGGGAGGAGGAGTCCAGAGACCCCCGGGACTCACCAGGGGGCTTCATGTAATACTGCTCAATGTCGGCCATGTCTGTGTGTAGCGCGCAGTCCAGGTAGGCGAGGACCACCTTCCGGCTGTAGTAATAGCGCAGGCCCAGCAGCCCTGCTGGCACCAGGCACGTCAGCAGCAGCGAGCGGGTCAGGGCAAAACAGAGAGCTGCGGGGAGAGGTGGCGCCCAGTGAGTGGTCAGTGGCGCAGAGCCTGTGGGGATAGCCCCACAGAGCAGCGCAGGGGAGACGGACCCAGGCCCACCAGCCCCCTGGTAAATAAGCCAGTCAGGGGCATGCACAGAGGAGAGACCATGCCAAATACGCGAGGCCTGTTTCCTCCGGAAGAGCAAAAAACATCACAGCTGCTCCTTCTACTTTTCCCCATTATCAAACTTCTCACCATAGGACACATTGCCTTTATAACCTGACATCACAAGATTTCTTAATATGCTGAGCACCGCAGCAGCCTCTGGGCAGGCTGCCCTCAATAGCTGGCGGGCACAGCCCAGGACAGGGCTACTGAGGGGTGGCCCCTGCCCATCGGCCCGGCCCGCTAGCTGGGGAAGGGGCTTTGTCCACAGCCTGGCCCACACGGGGCGGGGCGGGGGAGGGTGCCAAAGAGCTGCCTGGCCAGGCACCTGCAGGCCGTCCCACCCTTGGGAAGTGGGGGCCCCGCCCCAGCCAAGAGCCCTCCCTGGGCCAGCCTCTGGGTGCTGCGAGGACAGGGACCAGGGGGAGACTGCTTCCAGCCTAGGCTACCGGGATGCAGACGTGCCTGCAGTGAAAGTGCCTCTGCTGCGTGACCTTGGGAAAGTCCCACCCCGCAGCCTCAAGCTCCTCACCTCTGAAATGGGGAGAACCACCCTCCCGCGGCAGAGCCTCAAGGGGCAAAGCCCCAAGGCCCCTGTCGGGGCCGCCCACCGTGAGGGCCCACTGCCCCCTCGCTCTGCATCCTCAGCGCACACCCTCCCCCGGAACCCCAGGGAGCCGGCTGTCTTCCCCTCATAAATTAGCGCTCAGAGCCGCCGAGGCAGCCTCCCCCGCCCCACGGATTATATATAGTTACACGCGCCAGGCGCTGGGCCTCAGCAGCGGGCGCTACCTGCCGTCACCCCGCCCCAACCGGGATGACCGGGAAGGGGACGCAGGTGGAGACCCCAGTTCCCCGCCCGCAGCCCCTGTACCCGGCCCGCACTGGTTCCCACGCCCCCTCCCGGCGCGCCTTGGCCGCGAGCCCGGCCGGCCCCAGCGCTGGGGGCCACCTCGCCCCGGGCCTCCGCAGAACGCGCGGGTGCGTGTCCGCGCGCGTACGGTG